GTGGGTGCGACGGAGGAGCCCCCGGAGGGGGCCAGTACATGTACGGTTGTCCGTAAGAATAGCCGTATGTTGGAGGGTACATGGGATAAGGAGGGGTGCCATACCCAGACATTGGCACAGGGGGCGGCATTCCTGGCTGGCCGGGATATGACAAGGGTGGGAGGGTGTACGGTGCATTGGCGGGTGATCCAGATGGATGCGGAGAATGGTAAGGCGACACACCGAAGGGAGGAGGAGGAGGGAAGTATGACGGCTGAACGATGAAGTTGTTGGGGTCTGGCAGCTGGATGAGGCCCTCGGGTTCCCCACCATCAGGGGGGTGGGTGGCGAGGTATGGCCGAGAGGGGATGAACTCTTGGGGAGGGAGAGGATGGGGTTGAGCATACGTCGCTGGTGAGTTGTGCCCAGATGACCGTAAGCTCCTGTTCGGCCCCAACCCGAGGCCGTTGACATCGTCTGGCAACCTCCTATTGCCTCCTCGTGTATTGGGATGTCGGGGGCTAGAGTGGACGCTTCCGGTCCTACTTTGCGTCTGTGAATGACCAACCGAACCAGTATGTGTTGGGGTAGGCCTTCGTCCACTTGCAGAATGAGTGCGACTCTGTTGCTGCGAGCCAGGACCGGACGACGAGGAAGCACCGGCAGAGGTACCGACTGGATGACGAGAGTTTGATCGCTCGTAAGGTTGACCGCGATCACAGCCCGCTACTATGCTGGCGCTGGCGGGGCACGTGAGGTGGGGCGTTCGAATAGGTTATCTTTCCATTAAACGCTGGATAAGGTCTTGGTCAAGACGCCGGCCTGTTTGCACACTACCTACGACACTCAGGACACTTGAAACTAGGTGCATGAGTGCATAGAAGTGTGCGCGTTGATACTACATACACTATGCGGATGTAGCGGCGTCCGCACGCTCGAGGATAATACCAGGGGGGAGTACACGATGGCTGGAGTACTTCTTTGCTGCCCAAGCGGCCTCCGCTCCATTAAGACCGTCATGATAATGCTGCATGAAGCGTAGAGATCGGGAACAGAAACTGCGAAAAGGTATGTCAAAGTGTGTTGATACATAGAATTTCGATTCCCCGCACCTGCGCATGGAGACAAGCGGGACGGAGTCAAGAGAAGCTGGCACTGTGGAGCTTCCTGTACTCGCGCTTTGCATAGCACCACCATTGTTCGATTGAGTTGCATTCATAGTGGAACTTTGGCAGATAGAGAAACTTGAAACCATGGGCCTTGCAGTGCGCCTGGAGCAGTGTTTCCTCATCACGACTCTAACAGATTCTCCTTGCCTTCGCATTTCTTAGCCCTCTTCTTCGCTCATTCTCCTAGGTTCTCCACCCCCGATGCCCCAAAGATGCTGCCCCCGTCCATGGTGGTAAGACAGCAGTGTCTCTTTCCATCTCGGTCATCCTCTGTTGCTCTCTAAACATTACACATTATATTTCGAGTTTATGGCGCTTTTTTTGACGCCTGAACAGCTCTTGTCTGTTCACCATAATCTTTCATCTTCAGGCCGTTTTTGCGAAAAATAGATCCATAGAGTCGAAGAATGTGTCTTTTACCACAAACCTATGGACTCGCATTTGCAGCAAGGCCATCACGGAAGTATGTATATGATTTCTACTGCCAAGCGCCCTAATGCCCGTGCCAAATGCGCTCGGCGGTACGCGTCGTGATCACATGATGTAGCAGGCTGTGATCGCGGTCAACCTTACGTCTGAGAACTCCGGCGCCCATGCTGAGAACGGGCCGGTCCTTCGAATTGCAAAACTTCTGGAGGTGCAGGGACCCACTTCGTCTTCTCTCCTGTGAAGGATGCCAGGCCACAGAGACAAATGGGTGGTCAATGTATGCGCTAATCAGAAGAACAGCAAAGACACAGCAAAGACGGAGAACACAGAAGGGGCGGTGTAAACATGACCTAGGCAAACATACCTTTCCTCGTCCCTTGCCCCTGCGACGACTCTCTCTCGTGACTCCTGTCCACCTCCTCATGGTCCTTGTTCTTCCCCGACTCCGCCACAGGTGGAGCCTGACCAACCTCAGGCCAGCTTTCAACATCGTCGATGATGGGAGGCGTGCAGTTGAGGCTTGCAGGGGAGCGACCGGGCTTCACAACAAACGGATCGTCATCGTCTGGAGAGGATGCGAGATGTCCGTTGGCGGGAGGATGGGTGATAGGTGGCGACGGCGTCGCTGTTTTTTCTAACAAAGTGGAGCTACTTGATTGCTGCAATACGGCCTCTTGAGTAGTGTGTGGGGCGGCCGGTGCCGGTGCGGGGGCTGGAGCTGGAGTACTAGAAGCAGCTACGGGCTGAGCCGGGCGGTTGTGCGCGGCACGCGCCATGCGCATCTCCCAGACGTTCTTCGGAGGCGCAGTAGGCTGTTTCGGGGTAACAGCGACCGGCAGACCCAAGGGCGAAGAGTCACTGGTAGTCCGAAGAGAGTCACCATTCAGCTTCGGTTCGGGAAAGCTGTCCAGGGAGGGAGGTGTCTTAACGCGAGGAGCTTCTGCATATGCCGAGGGAGATGCTGATGGCGGTATTCGGGAGCTGGGGGTAGAAGCAGCAGCATGCGGGGGAGGTTTGAGGGCAGAAGGACGCGAAATGGGAGGAGCAGAACGCGTGCCTGAGGTCGAAGGAGCGAGGTGGGTTACTAAAGACGTACTAGCTGGTGCAGGACGCTGGGGGGTAGTATGAGATGACGTTTTTGCATTCTGGGCTTTCTTCGCGCGTTCGGCGTAGGACAGAGGAGGGGGAGGGTTGGCGGCAGGGGTCGGCGCCGGAGACACCATGTGTTTTGATGCGCTGCTGTTGCAACAGCAAGGCACAGGCCGTAGAGGCGACGGTAGGCGAACTGAAAGGAGGCGACGGGACGGAGAGGTCGAGAGGGTGGGCAATCGATTGATTCGCGTTCAGGCGTCCAAGTCGGATGGGGATGGGATGGAGCAGGACGAGGGAGAAGACAATCCCGGGCCAGAGTGGAGACGCAGAAGTGCGAGAGGTGCAAAAATACGGGCCGCAACGGGTAGCGAGCAACCCGGAGGTGGTGGCTGAGGACAAGGACGTCGTCTCGAAGTCCACCGCGCCATATTTCGCGCTTGCCGCTCACGTAACCGCATTGGTGTGGCACACACACTGAACTCATCCGCTTTGCAATCGTGTCTCAGCGCTCAGCGCTCAGCACTGACCACGCTGTGCAGACCACCCTTTGATTTGCAACGCTAAAACTCCGTTGCAGTCTGCAGCCAAAAAAGTGTTTTCGGCAGTACGACCAGCTGGGGCCACGCAACGCCCCCGGCATATGCCGGGTCCCTCAATTGCTGGACTCTGTTCTTGTCTGCGGGTGAGACCCGCGCAGAGGATCCGCACCGCGGCATTCCATGACCACTGCATCCTACAGCGTATACCCCTAAGTGCATCTCTGCAGTCTTCTACCGTGTTTAGAGTGGCAGCACATGCAGAGATTCATCCGAACCGGATCAATCTATACTTGAATACTCCTTTTATACGCTTATTCACACAGCCAAAATGTAGCATTCTGCAGAAACTGCAACATTTGATACCCTCACTCATCAGGCTGCATGGCAGCGGCGCGCCCTTGGAAGAAAGCGCACGTCGCGGGCTCGAAGCGCTAGCGCCAAACATGTACGACGCGTCGTGATCACGTGCGCGTGACACTCCCGCGACAATAGTACTCCCATGTGTCACCGCGGGTGAGAATTCAGACACAGCGGACCCCGCACCGTGACCCGTTGACCCAATGCGTTGCCCTTCCGACCTTGAGAAATGCGACTTCGCTCCCTTCGTACCACACGCCCTCGTTATCTGCCCCTTCTACGCTGCCGAAGCCCCACTGAACTGCCACTGTCGCCACAATGGGAGCCGCGTTCTCGTCTAAGGTCGAGCTCGACCCTGCTAAGGACCTGCCTGACTTGAAGGGCAAGGTCGTTCTCGTCACTGGGGGAAGGTGAGGTGGCATTCTCGCGCCTGGAAACTCTTACTTTTGCCTTGTGTCACTAGTCAGGGTATCGGATACGCGACCGTGCAGCACCTCGCGCGCAAGGGCGCCAAGGTCTACATGGCCTCGCGAAGCGAGTCTCTTGCCAAAGAAGCGATACTTCGTCTGCACCGGGAAGGCCTAGGACCTGGGAACGGCGAGGTCGAATATCTCTCGCTCGACCTGGGGGATCCTCGCAAGACGAAGGCGAGCGCCGAGGCATTCCTGGCGAAGGAGAAGCGATTGGATATCCTGAGTGCGTTCCCCGTCTAACCCATGGCTCGGACATTAATCTTTGCTTGCGTTCAGTCAACAACGCGGCCCAGTGAGCTTATGCCCGAAGTGCCCCGAACAAGATTTAATTGAGACACAACTGCAGACTGTATGCGCAACCCACCATGGGACCCGATGGTATGTGCACTACTTGCGTCTCTTGCGCGTGTCCTTCATTGAGTCCATATAGGGATTATTGAGTCTATGATGACCAAGTGGGTCCTGCATCGAACTGTAATGGGAAGTCCCGTACCCAGCACTCACTTCCAACCACCAGCTACTTCGGACCTGTGGTTTTCACGAACACCCTACTCCCACTTTTGAAGCAGACCGCTCAAAAGCTTGACAATGACGTCCGCATTGTTGTGGTGAGCGTAATCCGCCACCCCGCCTTTCCATCCGTTCACAAGTTACCTCAGGTAGCCTCAGACTCCGCACTCGAGTTTTCCAGAAAAGAGGTCAATTTCAAGACCGTCGAGGATCTGAACGAGACCTTCGGAACGGGGATTCTACACGGACAGTCACGCTACGGTACGCCACTTTCTACCTCGCCACTTTTGAACACCGGCCCATCCGTCTTACGCGCCTTTTTGCAGCCAAGTCGAAGCTCGCGAACGCGCTCTGGGCGAAAGAGCTCCAGCGCAAGCTCGACGCCGAAGCGTCACCCATCCCCGTCGTCACGGTGCACCCAGGTCCCGTCATGACCGGTAACCCGCCCCGTCTTGTCTTCTCCCGCGCCCATCTGACGCATTACGCCTCTCTCCAGAGGGCGTCGAGAACTACCCGGCGATACCCATCGCGTTCCTGCGGTCCTTGGTCCTCTTCCTCGCGCGGCCGTTCTTCAGCACAGCGAGCGTGGGCGCGTACCCCTCAGTCTTTGCCGCGGCGTCTCCGGTCGTCAGGGCGCAGAGCGACAAGTACAAGGGTGCATATCTGCGCCCGCCGTGCACTATCGGGCCGATGGAGCTGGCGGAGGACGAGCAACGAGCGAAGGACCTGTGGAGCATTACGGAGAGGATGCTCAAGCAGTGGGATGTCTGATAGATTATGGTCATTGCGGAATGGCTTCGGACTCCCGTCTTGAAAGGAATTTTTTCGGAGGTGGACGATACATTTCTGGTACATTCTGGTATACAACGCATACACAAACATTTGTGCACGATTTGGATCACGTCCGAGTACAGCGTGCGTTCACGGGATCCGCCACATTGCGATCCCGCTGCGCTCCTTGTCGACCTGGTCCTTCACCTCCTTGCTCGCCCCGCTGCGCACCGCGGCCGCGACGAGCACCTTGACCGCGTCCTTCAGCACCCCCTTCTTCTTCTCCACGTCCTCATCCGCTTCCGCGTCCGCCGCCGCCTCGACGCCCTCCCCCTCCTGCGCCTCCGCGCCCGCGACGACGAACCGCGGCCAGTCGACGCAGAGGTCCAGGTACTCGAACAGCACGCCCACGATGCCCTCGAACCGGCCGTCCGCGCTCCGGTCCCCCGCGCCGTCCCCGGCGGGCAGCGCGACCGCCCAGAGCCGCTCGAGCGTGAGCGTGTCCCAGGCGAGGAGCGGCGCGCCGCGCGCCGCGGGGAGCACGAGCGCGGGGCAGCCGTTGAGGAGCTGGTACTGCACCACGCTCTCGCTCGGGCGCTGGCTCGTCGTCCAGAACGTGCGGTGCGGCTTGAGGCCGACGACGACGACCGCGAGCCGGCGCGGCGGCGTCGGCGGCGGCGGGGCGAGCGCGGGCGGGGGCTCGGGGGAGGGCGTGCGCGAGCGGGCGAAGGCTTGCTGGAGGTCCGGCAGGCGCGGGAGGGAGAGGTTGGAGAAGTGGGG